CCCGATTAAGCAGAGCGGACAACGATGCCAAATGAACGGAAATAATTCGCTGACTCTCACTTAATCGCGGAATGTCTCTTTAAGGAAAACAATCACAGAACCATCATCGTAGAGCTGGAACTAGCACCGTTATGAACCAAAAGACACGGAAATTTTGGCTTGGACAGGAGAACTCTAAGAATCCTAAGCAAGGTTCAATTCGCTCTCACGTTAAATTCGCTCTTACGTTCGAATGTGTTCCCTTTGAAATATGCTACTTTCAAGAGGCGGGTCGGTGATTTCATTTGAAGTGTTGTAGTTACTGTCTGCATATGTGAGCGTAGAAGCAATATAATCGGTTTTTATCTGAGCTGGTTTTTGTGTTGTTTTTTTAACATGTTTGTTTGTCCTGTTTTATGTGTTCTATGCGCTACTGCACGTCTAATAAATGTAAATGTAAATGTAAGGTTGCATAACATAGCGCGACATCAAGTCGGCCCACAAGCTACCTCGATCATTGAAGACAAAGTGTACGTGTGAGGTGGATGGGTCCGCAACTACATCTCCGGCCAAACCAGCACGAGAACGACGCCGGAGGATATTGATACTTTAGTGCCGTTTCCATACGCCACACACTAACCATAGCCAAAAGCGCTACTCGTCTGCGGCCCTCGCTCCTGGTTGTCCTCTACCGCTAAGTGCGTGTTTCGCTGCGAAATCTTGATGTCAACTCAAATGTTGCACATTGAGGTAGCGCAGGCAGTGTATGGGATGACCCGCGGTCATCACCCTTCCCACAGCCCGATTCCCGTGCTCCTTCGAGCGGAGAGTGTAGCACACTAGAGCAGCTAAGGACCCATTCATACTCTCATATGGAAAAAACAATCCTTGGATGTGAGTGTGCTGCTTGTCTTTGAATACAAAAGGCAGCATAAATCCCCAAGACATGTAGGACTAATACGCCTAGCACGAAAGTGCAGTCATTACCATTACAAGAAGGGTAGATCCACAAGACACAGGTGTTGTGCCACAACTCGCACATTGTAGTGCCTAAATCCGCGCGCGCGGGGCGGAGTATAGCCGCGTTCCGGGAGTCTCTGTGCCGCATACCTTTTGCACGCTCATGCTTTTTCCAATTGTGCATATCTTCCGCGTGACGTTATCAAGAGAAATGAAAACTTAGTTTGAGTTGCATACGTGGATCTAGAGAACGAGTTAGAGGATCTCAATGTCAGTTTTGGCGACTTGGTGTTGTGTTGTGCAGTGATGAAGAGGAATCCGATGAGCTGGAACAATTTGGAGAACGGCTTGTTGCTGACGATTCGGAAGACGACTACTATGTCAGACACGAAGAAGTACACAACCAAATGGAACCTGAGCACACCATTCAAAACACGACTATCATTTTCCGGAACATCAGGCGTTGAAAGCAGATGAAAACATCATCGAGTGTAAATCAACATCAGAAGTGCTGAAGTGCCATCACCCCAGTATTAATTCAGAATGTCTTCATGTAGTTGCAAAGCCAAATCAATCAACATCAAGATAATGTTGTGCTGATTACAAGTCATCTTATGAAATGCAATTACCTTTGCATAGACTGTTATTTTGTAAATAACTAAAACGACACCAATGACCAAAATACCTGGGGTCATGGAGAATGTAAAATAAGTAAAACATAGTGAACACATATTCGACGGAATATAACACGTATTCGACGAGAATGACTTACAAGCGCATGATTATCCAAGAAGAAATCGGCCAACAAAACATGAACTGTAGGCAGTACACAAACGCAGGAACGGGAGTAAGCGCGTGAGTTGCTGACAATCACGAACGGGAGTAAGCGCGTGAGTTGCTGACAATTCACGCGGCTATCAATGTGTCAAAATATTACTCCGAAAGCATAGGCACCGCCACGCTTGCTTGACGTACGCAGCCACGCATACCACATCTTAGCAATTCAAGTGTATTCGACGCCGCTGAGCAGGTGCTGCGTGACGCCTTTTCTAAGGAAGATACCCTGTAACCCCTACCAAGCTGCAGCATTCAAACCCGGGCGCCCACCGCGCTCGCCAGTATCGCTTCATTTGCGAAGTACAATATGAAGCGAAGGGACATGAAGAGGCTGCGGTACCGCACGGATATATGAGTACAGACATGCAGCCGTATCTACCGCCGCCGTGACTGGCACGATGTCAATGGGAAAACCCCTCCGAAACTGCTTTCTGAGTAATGTATTAGAAGGAAGGCTTACTTGCGGTTTTTGACGGCTTCCCTTCGCTTTCACGCCATTTTCTCACTATTTAGGACCCCTGCTACCATGTTGAACCGAGTGCCAAGTTATCGTGCATTCTGCCTTTGAGCACCATATGTCGATATCCTATGAATGTTAGTAGCAGGCGCCGCCATTCGATGGGGCATTGGTGAGTCGAGCTTTTTACGACCCCCCACCTTTTTCAGGGGCTGGTACGACCCCCCCCCCTTGGCTCCTACGATGGCTGACTATGGTTGTGGTTTATACTCGGCGAAAAATTGTCGAGCGGGGGGGGGGGGGGGGGGGGGGGGGGGTATGTAGTAAGCATGCGACGTACATCGTACGGGCGTACATAGTACCTATAACACAGAAAATTCATAAAACTCCATGAAGTGAACCACGTAACTCCTAGCCAGAAATACGACCCCCCTCCCAACAACGACCAAATTACGACCCCCCCTCCGAAACGTCCGCAGGAGAAGGGGGGGCAAAGCAAGAAAAATCAACTATAAAAATAAATTTTTCCCAGCCCAAATACGACCCCCCCCCCTTTTGGCGGCCAAATACGACCCCCCCCCATAGGGAATCCCCATCGACGCTAGGTGTTATGCCCTGGTTAGTAGGTTGTGATTCACCCTCCTTCCGCTGGCTATGAGCCACACTTTTCCTTAAAGCGCTACGAACGCTTCCCAGCTCGTTGGAGACTGGTTATTGAAGTTCAAGCCATCAACGTGAACTCCAACACCCGTTTTGGAAAGGCTTTCTGTGCCCTAAAGAAGCTCCGAAAGTGCGGATATCTCCGCAAATAGGGCACTTGTAGAGGTACGGAGGTAGAATTGTAAATTGTTGAAAGAAGTATGACAGTGGATGATTTTTCCAAGAAGCGTCAACCATTATAAAGTGCCTAACATGTTCCCTTTAACAGCATTTAGTAACAAGTTGCTCACATCTCTATCCCGTTGTTCGTGCTCTCGTTCGGCCATGCTTGACGGAATACTGGCATCCGCAAGCGGATTCGTCATCAACACATTGTAGTGTGATGGCGCGTTCGGTTTTATCGTGGTCGACGCTTTCTCGTACTGCAATACAAACATCTTACTCATTTTACGCTCAATTCCACGAAAGCGCTATGATTACAATCTACCTTGTCGCTACTCGAATAAATCGCGTTCGTATCTTTCGTCTATTACTTTCTGCGTTCAGTCTTTTGCGCCATCATCCTTAAACCGTCGTTCCCTCGATTCTTTAGGTGGTAAAGAGCCAGCTCTGAGATCCGCCAATGTTTTAACCTGGAAATCACTGGACTAAGGATGTATAATGGACGAGATACTACAGGGCAAAAATCTTCTTAGCACGTTCCGGACCGCGTGAAATACACTCCTTATCCCTGAGCCGGAGTAGGCGTGGCATTTGAACATGGTACGGGACTGGTTTACCCGTGGAATATTCCAATCTGGGAAAACTGTCATCTTGTTCTATGCTGGACAGAGACACGACAACAGTTGTCAAGGTGGGAATATTCCACCTGGAAGCATAGAAACCTTTAGGTTAATTTGAAGAATGCAGCCCTGCCTACCCGATCTCAGGGACTCGAGTATACATGGTGTGCCCCGGTTTCGTCTCTATGTGGTGTTTTATTCGAGCGATTTGGTTTTCTTCCGTGTTTCAGTGTTGTGAAAACATGCTCTTGGTTACAGAAGAGACTTAAACTAAAGCGATTGAAAAGAGGTAGGATGTTCATATGAATCACTGAATTATGAAATCGAGGAAGAGCGCAGTACAGCGCCGTAATAACTAATGAAGCGCTCCGCGATCGCATTTTTCAATTGAATCACTGTGCTGCAGGTATGGCCAGTTGTGATTTCATGTGCTCACTGGACTTACCACGTGCGGGATTACTGACCGTCCGCTAGCGATTTTCGTCATCCAGCCTAACACATTTAACCTCGTCATCCGGGCAGTTGATTAGGGCGGTCGTCAACGGGCCGCAGCGCGTGCCAGGAACTATTTGCTTTTCCAGGCTAATTTAGTCATTTTTTCCACCTTGTGAAGATAAGGAGCTGCTAATCTGGGAAAAAGTAGCCAAAACAGTGAAAAGTTGGAAAAAATGACTAAATTAGCCTGGAAAAAGCAAATAGTTCCTGGCACGCGCTGCGGCCCGTTGACGACCGCCCTAATCAACTGCCCGGATGACGAGTATACCGGAAGAACCGCCAAAAAATGCCCCAGATTAAGAAAACGGGCTACGTTGTTCTGCGCTTGGGGATAAGCGATGTAGGTGGATAGAAAAGCACAGATGTTTAGATGCGGACAAAAAGAGCAGGCAACTAAGCGAGAATACACACAGGCGCACAAGTAGTAAAGTGGATATCCACATACTATGGGTAGAAGCATACTGAGGCGTCATGGTAAAACGTTAGTCACAAGCCCTTAGGGTCTTTAGCACGCACTCTCGAGTGATAAAGCTTTACGCTGTCTGCGGCTACGGACCTGTTCATCGCGAAGAGATACTATGAGTGGCATAAGGCGGAATGCGTACTCGAAGAGGCATTCGCGACTTCTAGTAAGAATCCAAGCCCAGTGTGGGGAAACCGAGGTAGCTTGAACCGCAAATGGCTGTGTAGTCTCAGTATCGCCTTCTGAAATGTTAAGATTTAGGGGGAGGGGGCAGGGTTGGGGGTGTGGAGTTAGTTCTGGTTTACAGTAGCGTATCTTCCTATCTAGTTGACTAGCCAGACACAGGCACAGCAGAAAACTGGTTGACTGAAAGACGCATAACAGCGTCTCGACGGGCAGCAGCACTGCTGCGATGAGCAGCTTAGGTCCTGATGCTAATACTGCGTACGTGACCAAGCTTGCAATGCCATTTCGTCTCACTTGCCACGACTGATAGTAATGCTCCACGCTCAGGCAGGAGGAAAGTGAAACGCAAGGCTGACTCCTGCTGAGCGCCATAGACTTTGTCTAGCATTGGTCCTACTACGCGTACTCGTACTATAACTCCGCCCGCTTATATGCTCTTAGGCTGCTCCTAAATTAGACTTCGTCAGAAATAAAAGCAAATTCATCTCTCGATCGGAACAAGGAGGGCCTTATTAGGGGTGTTTGGACAATTACACTACTCATTTTCTACAATCACATTAGATATCATATACATTTTTGTTCTTTCAGCCATGCTATCTATGCAAAGTTCACAGCCAAACGTGAAAGACGTCTACAAGCTCTGGGTCCACAACGTACCCTAGGTAATTTTTTCTCACCTGATAAGGTAGGTTTTGTTGTTTCGGCTGTGTGCCACCAGGTAAGCGAGCATCATACTGCTCTTGTAAAGGCATGTACGCAGGCGGCCGACTAAGAGGCGTCCACGACGTGTGGGGACCACCACCAGCAGGTGACTAGAACGAGAACAATATTCGGCTGATCAGTCCAATCGATTGGCAGTATCTACCTGTACGCTTTGCTGAATTTCGTTCGTGATTTTCGTTTCGAGCTGCTGCAACCTTTGAACAAGACACTGGACCTGCTCAAGTAATTCCCGATTCGCGTTCAATAATTGATGTGTTCGAGACTGAAAAATTGATAAATAACCACAACTCAAAAGATCAGCAGGAGAAAAATCCGATTGTAGTTCATCAGATACGGAACGCGGCATCGCGCGCGAAATTAATCTGTCTTAGCAAGTTGCCTCGACACGTAAGAATGATCAGACCACGGTAGTCTACGGTCATGGAGCCTTTGTTTTCCGCAGCTAAGACCGCGCGCGTATGGATACGCCAAGGGACTCCCCAGTGGGATGCAACACAGAATACAAATCGCACACCATGGATGGGGATCTTGGTCGAGGTGTCCGCAACAGCAAATCCCCCCCCCCCCCCCCTCCTCCTTAGAAGGGGTTCGGTACGACCCCTCACCTCCCTTCTACGGCTCGTTTTTTTTTCTTATTTTGGCTTTTTTATTTGTATTTTTTGAAAACATATGTGGAAGAAAACCAATGAATATTCCCCTGGCTTTCCAGCAGCTTCCAGCATTGAACACCATCCGACTAAAGAAACTGTGTACGAATGAAACTAAATGCTTCGCAGGTTTACAAGACAGGATCCCAGCAAACCTGCTCTCTTTACAAAGGTAGTTTAGCTTAAATGGAACACTCCGGTGTTTTAATACATGTGTCACTTTAACTTCCATGGAAAGGCCCAGACTGGAATGCATATGGCACGACAATTTGGTATTGAGTCTAAAATGTTAGTAGGGTGCTTTAGTGGGAAAATGGCGAAAAAACGAAGTGGAAAGGTCAAAACTGCAAACTGCCTTCGTTCTTTTCGACTCAAAAAGCAATTTCGGATGAGTTTGCTGAAGGCATCTTGCCAATGATCGCCACGGCAAATACGGTCGCATGTGCGGAATCATATAGCCATCTCTCACCACGTACTCGCTACAATGATCATCCCTTCGGCCAGGCGTTCATACTTCGCGACAGCAGCGGAGATTTCGTAGCGATACGCGCAGCTGTCGGTACGCCAGTCAGAGGCGCCGCACAGATTCACTACTCTTGGACCGTTTCGAGCGCTTTTAGGGAGAATCGGCCTTAATTTTCTGCTTTTTTCGTTTAATTATGTTATTGTTGATTGTCTTCTGTACGAAAGTTGTTTGATTCAAGGAAGGGTAGACCCCACTTGATGGCTTTTCTTTTCTTTCTTTTTTTTGATTCAGGATAGAAATGAGCAGAAAGCGTGGGAGCTTCATTCAGGGTAAGTATCATAGTGTTTTCTTTTTTCATTCTTCGAGCTTATACATGAATTTAGAATGTTTTCTCCTCCATGATGTTGGCCCATTAAAAGATTAGTGGATCGTGTCCATAGGTGGGTTTCATTTTATTTCTTTTTTTTCATTGTTTGAACTCGACGTAAACTATAAATGTTTCGAAAATTGGAACAGCTTAACCAATAGGAAATTCATATAAATGAACAATGAAAACAAAAGAAACAAAATTAGAAACTCAGCTTTAAATGAAGTTGCCCTTAACCCGACCTTAACAAAGGTGAAACCCCTTCGTCATATTCCAGATCAATTAAGTAGAGAAAATTCCTAGTTAGTATCCATCACTGAGAGAAAAAAGGTCTCACAAGTTGGATTTCCTTATTTTCAGAGCGAGCAGTCCAAGTAATAGCGTTGGGGCGCACTCTGCCGCGTACCGACGATCGCGGCTACTGCCGCAAAGTATCAAAGCTGCCTTCGCAAATGAAGCAATACGAGCATCAGGTATGGTCGGCCATTTGTGGGCGGGCCGGCGCGGTGTGCGTCCGGGTCGGTTATGTTGTAGCTTGATAGGGTCTCATAAGGGTACATTCTTCGGGAAAGTCGCAGCACAACGCCTGCTCAGATGTGCGATATTTCCGTCCTGCCAGGAGTATAAATACTACTCGTCTTAAGGAAACGACGAGATTTATAACGATTACTGGCGCTAACGTAGTTGGGAGGGGCCACGCGGCTCGCGGCGAGCGATGACTCATCTGCTCTTCTGCTCCCTCCTCGGCAAAATAGAAGTAATTTCGTGTTTAGGACATGAATATAACTTCGCCCTAGCTATATTCAAAAGTTAAAACAGTTAACACTGGAAAGTGCTGCAGATCTCGCCTATGCAAATTTTGTGGAATGTTTGTCGTCAACTGTTATTACTGACATAAAAAAAAAATCATATTTTAGCTCTAGGGGAATTCCTCAGCAAGTTCCCGGTGAATCTTGTTTGTTTTATTCTGATTTGGCTGCTAGATTCGCGTTTCAAGTATGCCGATGAGTCATCACTCGCCGCGAGCCGCGTGGCCCCTCCCAACTACGTTAGCACCCGGACTTATTTGTTCTTTTTCTTAGATATTGGCCCCTGCATTAACTAAGCTAGTTATAAATCCTCATCACTTTTCGGACACTCTTTAAGGCACCACTAGACCAGTGTGTGTGTGTGGTGTGTGTGTGTGTGTGTGTGTGTGTGTGTGTGTGTGTGTGTGTGTGTGTGTGTGTGTGTGTGTGTGTGTGTGTGTGTGTGTGTGTGTGTGTGTGTGTGTGTGTGTGTGTGTGTGTGTGTGTGTGTGTGTGTGTGTGTGTGTGTGTGTGTGTGTGTGTGTGTGTGTGTGTGTGTGTGTGTGTGTGTGTGTGTGTGTGTGTGTGTGTGTGTGTGTGTGTGTGTGTGTGTGTGTGTGTGTGTGTGTGTGTGTGTGTGTGTGTGTGTGTGTGTGTGTGTGTGTGTGTGTGTGTGTGTGTGTGTGTGTGTGTGTGTGTGTGTGTGTGTGTGTGTGTGTGTGTGTGTGCTGACACTGCCCACAGGATGTTGCTATTCAACCCTCATACTGTTGTGGCAGCCGAGATGGAGCACATTTGCCGGGACCCTCTCGAGTAAAGCAGCTTGTCTTTAAAGAGCTATAACCTCCTTGAAGGTAGAAAAGAGAAACGCGATCGCCCAGCAATACATTTGAGCTTCCCGAGGAGTGCTGAAGTGTTCATAGAGGTAGTTTGTTTCAGAGAATGGTGTTTTAGAGAGATATTCAGCGTAGGAAATCGTTTGAAATTCTGAAATTGGATGCGAGTTTTTCTAATTTGAACAATGACGAATTTCTTCCTACGCAACTGTTCAACGCCCACTGAATATCTTTCTGAGGTTCCCGGGTTTATGAGATAAATGCGTTGAAGATCTATTTGGGGAAATCTTCGCAGCGCGAAAACCCCGTTTCCTGTGTCTCATTTCAAGTGGGCGTATTTGAACAATCCAGAGTGCATCTGAAACGGATCCCTGTTGGAACAGAACTAGGCAATGGATGCTTTAGAACCCATTAGCTTCACCCGTGGATGCGCCACGTATGACGCTGTCACGCAGAGGTGGTGGGATGGTGCAACTACTACGTGATCTGTCTTCTCCAGAAGATGTATTCATAGGGTTCAGAAAAGTCCATGGCCCACCCACGGACTTGTTCAAGTTGTACTGCCTACTGCTACTTACGAGCTTATGAAATTTTATTAAGACTCTTAGTCATTTTCATTTCGATTTTGATTTTTTGTGGTGCCACTGACGCTGCTCAGTGATGACTGCCGCTCTCATTACAACTCCCCCCTCCCTACTGTTGGGGAACCCCAACGATGATGTGCCCTGGTACAGACAGTACCCCACGACATCGGCTAAAGGGAAGGTACCCTAAATTAGCGAATAGCAGACTAATGGGTACGATGATGTGCCCTGGTACAGACAGTACTCCACGACAATCAAAAGGTACCCTAATTACGAATGCAACTATGAGTAAAATTATAGTAACCTCTTGGGTACGCAACTGCGCGCAGTTGTTTCAGAAAACCATGGTAACGGTAACAGCAAGGTGTTGCCATAACCTGTAGTTGATATCCTATATGCCAGGAGAGGCGGAATGAGCTCGCCCCAGCACCGTTTTCTCAATACGCGTGCGCTATGAGCCCCGGTAGATCATTGTGTCCCTCATGGAGCACTTTCTTCGGCGCTCCGTCAAATTTCGCAAAATTATTGACGAATCTTGTACGGAGTGCTACTGCTATCATCCTTAACCACACTTAACACCATTTCAAGCTTCGTCCCCCCACTTTTCAGCGCGATCGCGATTTCTCAAACTTCATACTATAACTTCTGTGG